TTTTGTTTTACTCTATGTGCTCTTGAGTGTGACTGGAAGTTTGTGTCTTTCAGGAAAAATATTCAATCCATTTTATGTTGTGACATTTATGGGCATCAAGTTGTTCCTTTTATTCACTTGTTATCCTTAAAATGTCATAAGATCTGTAGTGATGCCACTTCTTCTATTTCTGACATTGATCATTTATATCTTCTCCATTTTTTTTCTCGACCATTCTGGCTAGAGTTTTATCAATTGTGCTGACCATTTCAGAGAACTATCTTCCATCTTCATGGATTTTTCTCAAGTTATATGTTTTAAAATTTGACTTCTGCTCTTATCTTGTTTATTTTCTTATGCTTCTTTTGGGCTTAATTTGCTTTTTTTTTCATAGTGTCATAATGAAAGCCGAAATCACTGAGACCTTTATTCTTTATAGGTTTAAAGGCTTTAAACCTATAAATTCCACTCTATATACTTTATAAGCTGCATCACAGACCTTTTTGATGTATTTTTATTTTCAATCATTTCAAAATGTTTTCTAATTATTCTGCAAATTACTTTGTGACCAAGGGTTATTAGAAGTATGTTGTTCAATTGCAAAATATTTGGAGATTTTCCAAACACATTTCATTACTGATTTGTTGTCTATTGTCATAGAACACCTTTTGTATGATTTTAACTTGTATAAATATTTTTCTATATGTTAATATAGTCCATTATATAGTATCTCTTGGTAAACACTACACATGCATATGAAAAAAGCATGTATTGCTGCTGTCAGGTTGTTGACAGTGTTGTTCAGAATTTCTAAATTCCTATCAAACTTCTGCCTACTGGTTCTACAGAGGGGAATACTAAGGTCTCTATCTAACTATATTTGTACCTTTCTCTCTTTTTTGTTTCAACTCTGATTATGGCATCTTGCATTATAAGGTTATTTTATTAGCTGCATTCATATTTAGTATTGTTGTGTCTTTTCAGTGAGTTGACTTTTTCATCCTTATGTTAGTTATAGCCCTCTCAGTACCTGGTAACATTTTTTCTTCTGAAATATATTTAGTCATATTAATATAGCCAACTGAGCTTCTTTTTCTTAGTTTTCTTTTTATTAGTATTTCATAGTGTCTTTACTATTCTTTTGCTTTTAACTTGTTGATAAATTTAATACAGCTGTGTTTTACATTTTTATATATGACAATCTCTGTCTTCTCATTGGTGTGTTTAGACCATATGCTTTATTCAATGTAATTATTAATATTGATGGATTTGAAATCTACCCCACTTTTTCTTATTGGCTCTATTTTTTTTTTCTGCCTGTTGTCAAATTGAGTGTTTTTAATAATTTTATATTTATTTATCTTTCTGGCTCTTCATTTGTACCTTTAAAGATATTTTGGGGTACCTAGCTGGCTCAGTTAATGGAGCATGAGACTCTTGATCTCAAGATTTTGAGTTCGAGCCCCACATTGGGTGTAAAGATTGCTTTAAAAAAATCTTAAAAAATTTTTTTCTAATAAATAAGTAAAAATATTTTGAGAGAATGCCCTAGGATTTACAATGTAAAATTTTAATTTATCATAATCTAACTTCAAATAATATTTGTTTTACTTGTGGTGTAAGAACCTTATGATAGTATATTTCTAATTCCTCTCTCTCATCCTCTGTGCTAATGTTATCATACATTTTACTTTTACATATGTTATATATGTTATAAACCACAGAACATTGCTAGTGTTTTTGCTTTAGGCCATCAATGATATGTTAGAGCAATTCAAAAAGAAAAAAATATCTTTTTTTTAACTTTATTTATTTGTGGGGGGCAGAAAAAGAGAGAGAGAGAGAGAGAGAGAGAGAGAGAGAGAGAGAGAGAGAGAATCCCAAACAGGCTCTGACGCAAGGTTCAAACTCACAAACCTGAGATTATGACCTGAGCCAAAACCAAGAGTCAGAAGCTCAACCAACTGAGCCACCCAGGTGCCCCAGAAAAAAATATATTTTATATTTATTTTTTTAACCATTCCTGGATATATGTTTTCATTTCTTTTTATAAACTTAATTTTTGGTCAGTATCATAAACCTTCTGCCTAAAATATATCCCTTCAGCATTTCTTATAGCATAGGTCTCATGGCAATAATGTGTCTGAGTTTTTGGTTGTCTGAAAAAAGGTCTTTCTTTTTTTTTTTTTTAATTTTTTTTTTCAACGTTTATTTATTTTTGGGACAGAGAGAGACAGAGCATGAACGGGGGAGGGGCAGAGAGAGAGGGAGACACAGAATCGGAAACAGGCTCCAGGCTCTGAGCCATCAGCCCAGAGCCCGACACGGGGCTGGAACTCACGGAGCGCGAGATCGTGACCTGGCTGAAGTCGGACGCTTAACCGAGTGCGCCACCCAGGCGCCCCTGAAAAAAGGTCTTTCAATTGCCTTCATTTATTAGAACTATTTGTGCCATGTGGAACGTTCTGGGTACACTTTTAATTTTTATTCTTTCAGCACTATAATAATGTTACTCTGTCTTACATGGTGTCAGACAACAAGTTTGATGTCAGTTTTCTATTTCTTCCTTTGAATGCAATGTGTCTTTTATTTCCACCACACCCCCACTCCTGATGCCTTCAATATTTTTTCTTTATCTTTTTTAAAACAGTTTGAATACGATGTATAAGGTGTGCATGTGTGTATCTGGGGAGGGGATTTATTCTGCCTGTGTAGAGGCTAGACAAAGGTACATAGCATTGATGCCTGAAAATGGACATGCCATTTTATTCTGCTGGAACATAAGGCAGGAATTTGAGGCATTATAGTCAGGAGCTGAGGCAGGTTTGGATTTTGTTGCCACAATCAGTTTCAGAGCACCATTCACTCTGCTTTGGGTCGTATCATGGACTACATGTCTGTGTCCCCTCCAAATTCATATATTGAAAACCTAACCCCCATGTGATTGCATTTGGAGGTGGGGCCTTTGGAATGCAATTAGGTCATGAGCGTCCTCATGAAGGAGATAAATATGCTTATAAAAAGAGGCCAAAAGGGAGCCTGGGTGGCTCAGTAGGTTAAGCGTCCTACTCTTGGTTTCAGCTCAGGTCATGATCTCACAGGTTTATGAGTTGGAGCCCAGATCAGGTCGGTGCTGACAAGCATGGAGACTGCTTGGGATTCTCTCTCTCCTCCTCCTCTCTCTGCCCCTCCCTCCTCTCAAAATAAATAAATAAAAACTTTAAAGAGAAAAAAGAGGCCAGAGAGCTAGCTTGCTCTCTTGCTGCCATGTAAGGATAGAGAGAGATGTGTGCACCTAGAACATGGAAGAGGGTTCTCACCAAAGCTTGACCATGCTGATACCATGATCATAAACTTGCAGCCTCCAGAACTATGAGAAATAAATTTTTGTTATAAAACATCCAGTCTGTGATACTTTGTTATAGTGGCTTTGACTGACTTAGGAGGACTATTCTCAGAATTTCTGCTTCACCCACATCTTTTGGCCTCCCCTGTGCACCTATGCCTCTGAGGGGTACTCTATTCATGCTCTCACCACTCCTCCAGTAGTTATTAGCTTGTGATCATTGCCTGGTGATGTGAAACAGGCAGATTCTCTGTTGTCCTGGTCTAGGGCAGAGTTAGGTAGGACTATGCCTGGGCATTGGCAATGCAGGTTCTCAATAATCCATACCTTACTACCTATGGCAGTGACACTTTGCAGGTCATGTGCAGACTTTCCTGACCTTTGCCCTGTGGTAGGAAACCTCTAATGATACTGGTGCAAACCCTAGGAAATCCTGTTTCCTGCTTCTCCCATGGGGCTTATATGTTTTGTTCTTAGGGGAGAGGAGCCTGCTCTATGCAAAAAAAAAAAAAAACAAAAAAACAAAAAAACATGGAAGTAGGGAGACTCCCCTTGTATCTGAGTCCCAGGGGTTCTGTCCTCTGTGCAAGCTCAGACTCAACCTTCAGAAGTTCGTTTAAAAGGTTTTCTGAAATCTTCTTACTCTGGGATATGGTGACTTTGTCTCTTACCCCTGCACTCTGCCATGGGTGAGCTAATGTTCACATCGGGACTCTCTCTGGTTTCTCGTCTTTCTGATAGGTTCATGAAAAGTTATGATTTTATAGTTAACCTGACTTTTTCTGGCTTTTTGTGCAAGACAGATGTGAGACATTGTGCTACACATGTGACATTCCAGACTCATTATCTTAATAGAGTCGTATTGTTTGCTTGCATTAATGTAGTTATGAAATCATATTTATCCTTTTAATATTTCCTGATTCTACTCCCTTTGATATCTCTCTCTTTCATCATTGGGCCCCAAAACTAGATTTATAAAGTTTTAACAAGATTATGGAAATAGAATGATACATAGTGATATTTTATGTGTACTTCCTAGAATTTGAAAATAAAACATTTCTTATTAAAAATATGACCATTATAAAGGAAAGGGATTTTTATTTTCTATGGAGGCAGTCTCAAAGCTATTGCTAGATATAGGTTTTATAATGAAGTATCATGCATGTTATAACCATCTTTTGTCCAGAACTGAAATCAGATCTCCAAAGGTACCGATTGCTTACAAAGGCAAAACAAAATATCCTGCTTAATGGAATTAAGACAGTTATGTTCACCAGCGACACTTTTTCATGACTCTGGGTCATCTCAACTTCAAAGGAAACATTGCTTTTAGTATTTGTTTACAAGTAAATGCTATGATATTTTCCATGAGAAAAATGGATAGTTAACAGAGAAATGGCAGTTGATTCAAAAATTGGACATTCTTACAAGTATATCAGATGAATAAAAGAAAGTGAACCTACCCTAAAAGCATTCTCTCCAATTAATTAGCTCAGTGTCCTCAAAATTTTACAGTCTGGCTGAGGCTGAATATTACTGTCTTTAAAAATAAATGCTTCATGTAGTGAACATTAAAGTCGCTTGCCGCTCCAATATTCTATAATTTTTAAGTTGCCTCTGTTGTTAGTAAGCTGATTGAAAATCACACTTACAATGAATCTCTCTGTAATTGCAGGTTTTATATGGGGAGAAATTAAACAAATGTGGGATGGTGGACTTCAAGATTACATCCATGATTGGTGGAATCTAATGGATTTTGTGATGAATTCCTTATATTTGGCAACAATCTCTTTGAAAATCGTTGCATTTGTAAAGGTAACTATCATTTATATTTTTGGTAAAGCATAAAGTTCTGATAAATACTTCCCTACCTTTGATTGCTATTAATTTTACTAATAATGTTACCTGGAGCGTTATCTTTCTGTGATGACAGATAGGTATAAAATACATTATTAATACCCAATTATAGTTTCAAAATAAATTTCACAAACAATTTGAAGTTGTCACCCAATTTTGTTGCATATTATTTGAATGATGCCTCAAAATTACTCACAATAGTTGCTCTGGTTTTGAATCCTTTCCATTTCTCATAACAGTCTACCTCAAACACTGTTTAAATTTTGGCAACCAGAATCTATTTTTATCAGTTATAACTAACCGATAACATTACCTAGACCAATCAAAATATTACTCATTCAAAGCATTGAAATTATTATTTCAGTTCAAACTAATATAGTTTGATATAATTAGAACAGAATATAATTTCCTTTTCCTCATCCCATTCAACACGACAGCGCCTGAAGTCTCATACACCCATCACTCCCCCAGATTCTGTGCAATATCAATCTTTTCCAAACCACATAATTTCTGTAAAACATTTTGTTCTGCAATGACAACTGGGATTATTTTGTACTTTGGGGGATATTTTTCACATCAAAGTATTATCTCCTTCTTGCCTTTCTTTTTCCCTCTTTCTTTGTCTCTCCTTTTTTAAAAATTTGTTTCAAAATGATTAGTGTACTAGCAAAAAATAAAGAGTGTCTAATTGGGCTTTACATGAATAATTCATGCAATTTAGTGATCTGACCTAGAAATCCTAACGTGTAGGTGAACTCATTCATTTAGTCTAGTTCCTAAAATAGTGGCCTGAGTCTCCCTTGTATAGTGTTCAGCTCTGTCAGGGTCAAAAATGCCCATAGTTGGAAAGGCCTTAGTTTCCAGAATTTGTTCAATTAAAATGTTGCCACTCACCAAATTTCATGCCTACCAATTTCATGGAAATCAAGCTATGTTTTAATAATAGAATCATAACTTGGTAATTTTTCCTATCTACTTTAGGTTAATGCCCTTGAAGACCTTAAGAGAGCAGAAGGTACTGTCTTAACCAAGGAGGTTATGCATCTATGTATGAGATGGGCAGTCTGTTGTTCAGTGAATATCTGTCCAATTTCTATTTTCTTTGTAATGATCCTTAAGTATGTCTATAAAGTTGTTTTGGCCATCTCTCAACTAAAAAATAATATATCTGTTTTTTTGTGGCCCAATACGGATATAAAACTCTGGTATATAGAACTATAGCATTTCTTCTAAAACTTTCCAGTGCAAAAACATCACCTGGAAAGCTTTCTAAAACCCAGATTCCTTTTCTCCATCCCCAGAGATTCTAAATTTAAGAGTATTAGAGAGGGTCCTAAATTTGCATTTGTAGCAAACTCATCAGATGATGCTGATGTAACTGGTCTAAGGAAGATGATTGGAATGACACTGGACTGTATAATTCTATTCAACAGCTAAGACAAGTATGAGATTGATCCCAAATGGAACTTCTTTCATGTATTTCTTATATGCAATATTTGTACTAAGATACGGAATACTTTTACATGTTACATTTGATGGTGTTTATATATGGTACATATACATTTTCATATATAAGAACTCTGGTATATAGTAGGTACAACTACATAAATTAATGGGTACTTGTGGATTTTTTTGTCTCAGTTTTAGATATGGGATTTGAATTTTCTTAAAAAGTTGTAAATTCTTCACGTGCAACATCTATTTTAATATTAAAATATAAACATTGTTCCTAATACTACACCAAGGAAAAACTTATGCTTAAAATTCAAGCATCACTCACCTCATGTGATGAAGAAGGAGAAAAGGAGATGGAAAAGTGCACAGAAATTACCTCAGCTGACAATGATGTAAATAACATGGAATCTTCCAGAAATATAATTTGTTTATGCATTGCGGTCATAGGAGTCCAGCTGTGATTGTATGTGTAAAGTACAAAATGTTCTTTCTGAATGATTAGTTTGTGTAACTAAAACTTGAGTTGCATGGATAGAGTTTGATGGGTAGTATTTTCTGGGCTCACTTCCTTCCTCCAACACTTACTAGTTATGTGAACTTGGACCTATTTCTTCACCTCCCTTGCCTCATCTATAAAATAAGAAGACTAACAATTTCTACTTTGTGCTGTTGGTATGAGAAGTAAATGAGTTGACATAATTTAAGTGCCTGTTATAGAATAAGCCTGCATTATTAATTTTTCTTCTCTTTTACTCCAGTATCCTCCCTCGTCTTCATATACTATGAGTCCATTAGACTTACCTTTTTAAATGTCTTTATTATGTCTCTTCCTTTATGTTAGTTGAAAAAAAGATTGAGCTCTGGATTCACACTCGCCTTTACCACATGAAACCTGTGTGATTTGGGGCAAATTACTAAATGAAGGTCTCAATGTGACCACCTGTTAAATGATGATAATAATCAAAAGAGCACTTACTTTGGGAGTCTGTAATGCTCACTTGTTGACTTACCTTTCCTTTCTTTTATCATTCAATTTTCATGCTAATTTTAAATAATTTATAGGTTACTATTTTAGGAAAAGGTGCTATATTTGTGCACAAAAACAGACTGTGCTATATATAAGGCAAACAGCTATTATGTGAATTAATCAATAAGAATTTCTGGGAGCATACTAAGAGACCAGGTCTTCATCTGTTTGCTGAAAATGCAAAGATACCTGGGGTACACCTCCTGCTTAAGCAGTCCACAGTCAGGTTGTGGAAAGAGAAATGCATGTAAATAAGAATTTCCCATTTGATAAGGTCTACAGCAGGGGCTATGGTAGCATCGAGGAAGGAACTCAACTCTACTGGAAGTGTCCTGGAAGACAGAGCCAGAAAGTATCCATTGGGTTCATGAAAGTGCATTAGCATTCTGGAGAGAAAAAATACAATGTGCAAAAAAGTCTGAGTGTATAAAGGAGATCAGTATCTAAGAGAAATGATCCAATAAATGGGAGCAAGGCTAGGATAAGAAGGACTTTTCACATCCTGCTATAGAATTTGGGCTGTGCTCTGTTAAATAAAGAGGAGCCATGAATGAGATTTAAGCAGAGAATGAGTCAAATGATAATGGATGCCTGAAGTAGAGAAATGAACATAGGGGAAGCTGATAGAGAGCTGGTATTCAAAAAAAAAAATAGGAGATAAGAGCCATAAAATAGATGATTTATTAATTATGAAATATGAGGTAGATGGAATCACCTGATGCTGCTTCCTAGTGAATAGTTTGCCTATTATGATGCAGGCAAGATTACCAAGGAGTTATAACAAGGTTATCTGTAATATTGTAGAGGTTCTACCTCTAGTCTGAAGGTGCATAAATGGGAGCAAAAATCCAACCCTAGGTCTTTTTGTGCAAGCCATGGATCCAGACCAAAAAAACCATTAGTCCACAAAAAGGGAAACCTTTCTGTAACTGGTCTATCAAGGAGGAGAAACTTTTAGAATAGGTCTGGCAGAAGGGCCACACTTGCTTAATTGGCTTATCATTTTGTGATTCATTCATCTAGAGGGAATTTTAACACACACACACACACACACACACACACACACACACACACACACCAAAGGGTCCTGCTAACTAAGGCCATGATTTGAGTTCTGATCCATACTTGATCTGAGTATCACTGATACCACTTCCTACCTGTGTGATTTGGAGCAAGTTACTTAATCTATACCTCAATTTTCTTATGTATAAAATGACACTAATAATCAAATCCTATAGAATGTGAGGATTACATTAATAAACACGTTTAATGTCATGGAACAGAGCTTAATATAAGCACTCAGTAGTTGTTTTAACTTTTGTGTACAATGCAACAGCATTGCATTGTAGAGACATAGACAGTAGAAAAGTATGTGACTTCAGTATTCTCCTCCTTACATGCAAGGCTGTGTGGTGCTTCCTTAAATACCTTGATTCTTGAACATTTCATGGCTCATGGATTGATTGTGTGCTTTTATTTATTTTTTATTTGCTCTTAATTCTTGAAGGAGAAGGTTTGTCAACCACTTCCGCTTCTCACTCTGTATGAAATACTAGTTAATCCAGAGCTTGTTGATGCCTGGGCACTCTTAAAAAAATGTTACTTTATCTTCATTAGAACTGGTTTTGTCCTAAATATTTCCCAGTCCTTTTTTCCATTAACAACTTGTCTCATATTTATCTTCAGTCATTTGGCAGAAATGACTAAATTCCTATGCCTATTCCACTGTGTAATAGAAGTAGTATTTTCAAAAATTAAATTTATTATAGATAAGAGCATTTATTTTAACAGTCATGATGGAATTTTTCATAGTACTATTCTTCTAAATAGTTCTAAGTATATATCTCATTGATCTATTCTTATGAGCTAGAAAAGAGGCAAATATTGTTTTTATTTCACAAATGCTGTAACTACAGTATACTGTCCAAATTATGGAATTTTCTAAATATTCTTTAGTTTTATGGCACAGAGCTCTGTAGAGATTTAAATCCTAATTGTTTAATCTAGTATTATCTGTTACAGAAGAAAATCATATGCCTTCTTATTGTCTTTCATTACTTCATTATCTAACCAACTTCATTATCTAAACCAAGGAAAGGTTTTCTCCTTATAAATCGAAATTAAAACCAGTATATACATTTTGTTTACTCTCATATGACAAATATTTTCATTTTGTATCAATTTAATTTTTTATTCACTTTTTATAGATTACTTGAGTTTTATAAGTATGCATCAAAGACTACATATATATAAAGAACCCAGTATTATGATTCAGTTCATCTTCCTCTAAACATTCTGCTAAGGTGTTCACGACCTGGCTCCAACTTCCTCTTAGATTCATCACTATACCCAAATTCTCCATATTCTAGCTATATTAAGATACTCACATTTCTACCAATGATTCATCTTTTCTAACAACCATGAATGTGTCTATGATTCTTCACCCTAGAATGCTTTTTGACCTCCTGTCATATATAAAGCACTCTATTAGATGTTTGGTTCTGAAAATGCATTAGACAAAGCTCCCTACATGGAAAACTGACAGTAATCCAAGGTTGAATATTCTCTTATATAGGTCTGCAAAGGAGCTAGTCTCTTAAAAAAATCTGAGTAAAAATGAAGGTTTCAAACAAAACCACACTACGGTACATTTATACTAAAAAGCAAGTACTTGAGAGAAAAAGGAAACCAGGAATTGATGGTCCTAGAAGGACTTCAATGTGTAGAGTAGCTCTTGATTTTTCTCTTTCCTTTTTTTAAATTAATTATTTTTTTAAATTCAAGTATAATTAACAGACTTGATCTTTCTCTTTCAAGGATTATTCTATCACATGGAACCTCCAGCTCTGGTCAGCAGGATCCTAGCGTCCATTCATCCCCGTCAAAGAGTACCTGTCAAGGGAAGGATTAGCTTTTCTTATTTAATGTCTGCTTTCTTCACTATATTGTAAGCTCATGTGACATAAACTGCATTTTATTTGCTCACCATAAATTGCATTTTATTTGATGGTGTCTGGCACAGCGTAGGCACTCAGCATATATTTAATGAATAAATAGCAGATGAAGAATCATAATAATTGGAATTTAAATCCGCTCTGGACATAGGGCCTGATGTTCATAGAAAGGAACTTTGGTGAGACTGTGAGGGAAATCTGGGGAGTGACTAGTACCAAAGGTTTGAGCCAGAGCATTAAGTACCAAACTGAGAACAAATGGAAGATCAATCTCAAAAGAGAGTCAGGACCCAGATTCCAGAGGCTTCATATGACATGTTGAAAAACTGGAATTTCATCTCAAGGACACTGCAGAATCATTGAAGAAAGAACATTAAGCAAGATATGAGGTGGTCTGACTGGCCCTTTTAAAACACAATTCTGGAGGAAATGGGCCAAAGTAGAAATAAGATACAAGGCAGGGAGAGCAGTTAGGAGGCTATTATAATAATTTCTGTGAGAAATAGAGGAACTTCTTTAAGACAGTGAGGGTACCAGCGAAGAGGAGTGAGCGGTATCTATGAGATTTTAGTTTAGAGCCTGTGAGTTGGGAGAGGAAGAATCTAGGCTCAACCTCAAATTCTGCTTTGGGAGATTTGCCACCCCTCATTAAGATCAGAGAACGTAAAAGGAGAGAGAGCTTGAGGAGCAACAGAGCACGAATTCCAATTCTGACCTGTGTGCTTGAGATGCCTGTGAGATAACCGTGTGGAAAAGTCAACAAGGCGGTAGAATATAAAATATGACTGTAAGGGGAGACATCCAGGCGGAGATGTAGGACTGGGAGTCATCAGCACATAACGGACAGTTGAGATCACTGAAAACATCCAGGGAGAGTAGGTAGAATGAGAAGAGAAGAGGCTTGCAAAGCAAACTCAGTTATTTAAGGAGCAAGTGAGAAAGAAGGATCTGCTAGGGACACTGGGAAGAGGCCTCACAAATGGCCAGAGGCAAACATGGAGGGCTAAAAATGTGAATATAGATAATGTGACTATGTTTTAGAAAACAGAGCCAAAGAGAAATTTTAAATTCAAGTTAAGCTTTTAATTCCTAATCATAGGGTGTGGAAAAATACATTTAACATTGAAGAATCCTAATTTTTCTCTACAAGTTCAAAGGACTCCATGGTTTGAAAGAATTTTAAAAATCTCCTTGTAAAACAATGCCTCTATGTAGAAACCAGAGCTAAGTGTATGTGTGAATGACAGGAGAGAAATTAAAAAGCAGAACTTAAAAGAATGAAATCAAGAGCTAATTACTAAATGTTTATATCTCTATTTAATCCTGACAGGAAGCAAGTTTTCTGGATCAGAGAACAGACAAATTGTTTACTTACATAACAATCTTAACATTGGTCCCCCATGCTCCAATTCCCCACAGGGCGACAGATGAGAGCCAGATGCACCCTTCACATGCAGGAGTTTGTACCACAGGAGGGGAACTGGGAAATTATGAATCTCAGAGCTTATAGAGTACAGCTGTGCCAGCTGCCCATCTTCCCCCACCGCCCCCCTCCCCAGAAAGAGAAAGACCTTAACTTTCTAAAGTAAACAAATTCTCTCAGGGGAGGCAAAGGTCCCTAGTTTTATTATCCTTAGAATCTAAGCAGATGGCTCCAGGGGAGATGTTTCCAAATCTCTCAGAAAGTCTCTATATTTAACTTCCAAGGCTTATTTGCCATTCAGACATCTTTTAACAGCCATGCAATGTTTTGCTCAGGAAGCCCTGACCATGCATAAATGTGAACAGATTCACATAGCATTGTTTCCCAACAATTACCAGAAGTGCTAGACTTTGAAGCAGACTTGGGTAATTATACTGGGGTAGAATCTAGCATCTCATGATTTGTAAAATGGAAAACCTTTCGCATGATTTTGCAAGTCCCAGCTGAGACAATTTGCTAAGAAGGGATCTGAAGTACCATATCACCATGTGATGATGGATTCTATATCCAACTGCCTCCAACTGCCTGTGAAATCTAGAACGAGGAACAGTGTCTCCAGTAGATGCCATAACATCAAAGGACCCTTAAAGCTTGAACAACATATAGTCTCTATTCATTGCTGGCCCCATCAGCCCCAGACAGAATTTATCACTTTCTCTATATTCCCACAGCACTTTGTGTTAATCTCTTAGAGCATTTTTATTATCAGGTGTCCCTCCCATCCTCACGGGACAGTAAGTACTCGTTGGGAGAAAATGTTTGAGCCGTACAGGATATTGTGTTAAACATTATGAGGAATTCCAAGTAAAAAGATCACATCCTTAAGAATGCTTACTATGTCACATTTTGTACATTTTGAGATATAGTCCTAAGCCATATTAGCTTAAAGAGAAAGAGAAATATAGAATTAGCTATCAATGGGGGGCTGGGGGATGTTCTCTATTTAAACCATGTGTCTTTCAGGAGAAGCAAGACAAAGAAGGTGAAGGTGGTTTTAGTCTTTGAAGGCAGAGGTGGCATCATATATGGGACAACCAAGAGAAGAGAATTAGGTAGTGGCTGATACCATAAACCCTCACTCTGATACTTGTGATAATGAATAAAAAATATTAAGTTTTTAATTCTTCATGTGTCTTCAATGATTAGCTATTTTATGCTGAAGTTGAGAATGTTCAAGAACAGTTATCAGCATTTAAAAATAGAAAATAATTTCCCTTTAGCTCAAATTGTATTGTTTTAAATTGTCATTCATGCAAGAGTCTGAGTGTTGAACAAAATCAGGAGCTTGTGATGTATTTTGTCCCCGGGGAGATTAAAAGAATACTATCTATTGGTTTCAAGAGAATTAATTAACATTTGTAAAGGTCTTTGGTATAAAATGCAATATAAAAAGAATAGAAATATTCTGATATTCCAATGGGACTCATACAGGAGTAGAACTGTTTTTGCTAACATGATTATTAGGAAAAAGATCATGTTGTTTGGACATATTTTTTAGGGATGTGTATGAAGAAGATGACTCAATTTATTGTTTGATTCCTACACAAGTTTAATTATAGATTTTTGTAACACAGTATTTCAAAGAGAATATTTGGCCTTTTTTTTTTTAAGGATATAAATTTACCTCAATAATACAAGGAATAAAACTCATCTTGCTTTTCATGCAGCTCAATGTCAAGATAATTTAAAGCTGACATGTCAACTGACTAAGTCTTACTTTTTAAATAATTGCTGGTCAAAGTTTAATGTAGCAAATATTCTTTCTTAGATCACATATTTTATCTAATTAAGGAATCTTCAAAAAAAATCACATGTCCTACATATTAAATATAACAAAATTAACAATTCATTGACTTCCAGGATGGCTTCCAAGTTGGGTTTTATCTGCTTTAGGATACAACAGATACAAAGCACCAACATTTATACCCAGAGTGGTCATTCCTATTTCCAGGGCAATGGACCAGTACTTGCACTCACTTATATGGAATTTGTATCCTGCATGCATGCATCTAGACTATGCAAGTGTGTAAATACAGAAAGTAAAGCCCTTGATAATTTTGTTCAAAATTTGTAGTTTTCCTTTATAATGTATCTTTCTTTGTTATCGTGCTGCTGCTCTTCCTCATATAAAATCAGATTTTTTTTTTTCTATGTAACATGTTCCTTTTCTTTTTTGAAAGTTCCATCGGAAAGGTCGAGGCCAGATGCAATTCACTTATAAACAAACATACAAATGACAAGGACAGACCAGGAAGGTCACTTTGATTAAAGCTTAAAAATTATAAATTGCTTTAATAAACTCTTATTTTTGTGTAGATGAATATTGCTGCCACCATCGTGGAGGATATCAGCCGCTGTGAAGGGCAATAGGCCACGATGCTAGATCTACCTGAAAAAGCATTCTGGCCTGAACTTGACATAGTCATATACATATGAGTTTGTTTTACTTTTTCTTTTCTCTCCAGTACAGTGCTCTGAATCCACGAGAATCTTGGGACATGTGGCATCCCACTCTAGTGGCTGAAGCTTTATTTGCCATCGCAAACATCTTCAGTTCCCTGCGCCTGATCTCACTGTTTACTGCAAATTCTCACCTGGGGCCTCTGCAAATATCTCTGGGAAGAATGCTCCTGGACATTTTGAAGTTCCTATTCATATACTGCCTTGTGTTGCTAGCATTTGCAAATGGCCTAAATCAATTGTATTTCTATTATGAAGAAACAAAAGGGTTAAGCTGTAAAGGCATACGATGTGAAAAGCAGAACAATGCATTTTCAACGTAAGTCGAACAGACACTTTTATTGGTAACGCTGTGCGGAATGTAGAGTGTATTACATTATGAATTTGAACCATGACAAGTGGTTGCAAAGGGAATTGTGCTTAATACAGAAAACAGAATTAACATGGTTTTGAATACAAATGGATCCCTCTGGCATTAAATATATATATATATATCTCCATTACATTTATTTTAAGTCTTAGTAAAATGGCCTTTTAAGTGACCTCATATAAAGGAAAGCTGTATATTTGGTTTTAAAATGTGTAATAAGAGGAAACCTCTGCCCTAGTGGCATCTTACAAGCACATTAAAAGACAGAATATAAGTAAAACCAATCTTGTGAGAAAATCCAAGTATTTTTCGAGCGTTCCTCTGTGTTTTCCAGATATGAAAGTCCCTTTGCTTGTTCTTTCATTCTCTAATTCCCTACATAAAAAATGTGAGCATGTAGAAATGATCCAAAATAGGAACCCCAGGCTAACCTGGGCTGCCATCCTTATGCACACAGAACTCTCTGTGCCTTGACGCCTGATGAGCCACAGGCCTCATTCAGTGTCAACCTCTTGCTGATCTCAGGCAGGTTTGCTGATAGCACAGACCCATGCCCCCATGTCTGATGTTCACACAGTCCTTACAGAATACACCTCTCCATGCCTGTGCCCATTTCCTTCCCACTATGACCACCACACAACTGTGCCAAAGAGTTCATTAGCAGGGGAATGAAGACACCTAGGTCCTTTCCCTCTACACAGGAACTACCAGCGAATACATGGTTACTTCATACGGGACTATAGATCAGACCCTATTCACAGGCCATTATAGAATTTTATGTAAAATAAGAGAGTAGTCATTTCTCAAGTAGGAAAAGAACTCAACAACTTCATATAAACTAAGTCCCTGATGGCTAAAATATTCTTGTTGATTCAATTCTGTATGTTTTGTCTTTGATCCCAATATTAAAACTCCATTTTAATTAATCAACATCTGCTTCTTTGCACATAAAAGTTTAATCTCAGCCTTAACTTCCTCAGATCCTTTCTGAAATAGATTTGATACAAACCATGAGTCACAGAGAAAACAAAAGGTCATCCCAGCTTCCCTTGCTCCCAGCCTTGATTCTTCTGCTCTTTGACAGCAGCTGCCCAGGCTGACCAGTTTATTCAGCCTTTTCATCTTCCTCATGCCTTTTTCTGACCCTGGAGGCGAGGGATTCAATGAAACCCCTTGTAGCAATGTCCTTGTGACTAGCATGGCCCTGAACTGTGTCTCAATTTTTACATCTGAGATCTTTCCCCACTCTGTTGTGCCCCCTGACTTGGTAATTTGCTCCTGGCAACTGAGAGTAGGGAGTTACAACAATCAGATCCCACCAACCCCCTTCAAGGACCAAAATTCAGCCTCTAACAAACGTCTTGGATACTGTCTGCTGTCTGTCTCTGGATTTCTGCTGGAGAACCCTTCTGCTCACAATGGCTTTCACAACTCCGTTGTTACTTCGTACCGCGTGCCCCAATGCAAACTGGTTGCCAAGACCGCCCCATCTCCCTAGGTTGCCATAACCTTCTGATTCCAAGCTTTGTCTTCCAGGAGGAACTTCCACACAGTACCTAGAACTGACTGACCTCCCAGGTTGTGTTTAATTCAGGGAACAGCTTTTGTTCCATGATCCAGCCCCTTCTCAGACATCTGATTTATGATCCCTAAGTTCCCAAGAATCACACTGACCTATTACCACTTTCATGGTAAATGATTTTACATATTATGAACTAATTTTAAGATCTGTCCAAGAAGTTCCATTGCTATGGAAGTCTGAGGCAAAATGTCTAGTATTCTTGAAGCAAAGGTATTGAACTGCTTGGATTGTGTATTATTTTAGTGTAAATGGTGTCCTTTATTATCATGAAAAGCAACAGATAACTGCATATCTCAAATATTATAGGTCCTAATCATTCAGCCCAAGTAAATCAGGTATTCCACCTGAATTTTTTTCTCCAGATAATAGAATGTAAACCTACAAGCAACAGATTATTCAACAACTAAAAATTACAGCAATAAGTCTTAGTATTAGAATGCACTAGAATGTAGAGAATATCCTAGGCAGGTATAAGGGACCTGACTCTGATGACTCTATTTCAACATAACTGGTGTCAGTCATTGTGAGAGGATGTCTAGCAATACCCTCGGGGCTCCTGTTCTATATCTTATTTCTTTTCTTTGGTTGGTCTTCAATTTTCTTTTTATAACTTCTTTCTATACACTTCTTTTTATAATTTATAATACTCCATAAATTTCAACGTGGTTTTTTTTTTTTTACTATCCACTATTTCAGAGATCTTATTCCATTTGAGGATTAAGAAACCTAATACTTCATGTAGAGTACCTAATACAGTGCCTGCCATAGAATCAGATTTTAAAAAATGCTAGCTATGTTACATCTGTTTATCATTATGAGGAGATCTCCTGCCTGTATCTCACACGGTTCCTCTCTATTACTACTTCCATTCAGGGTGCAAATGTATGCTGAGACTCTGAGCCCTGTGTTTCCCATTAGTTTCCACTCCTGTCTCTCTCCTTCCCTTTAGCCAAATAACCCTTCAAGGAAGCCTGAACAAGACACCTTGTTTTCTTCTTATTCGTTCTTCATCCAACTGCAATTTGGCTGCTGCTTCCATCAGTCCACTAACACTACTCTAGAAAATGCCTAGAGCCTCCATATCCCCATGGTCAAGGAACACTTGTCTCTTTAAAGTTTATTTAGTGTTTCTGCATCGTGTGACCCTGTTAACACTTTTGCTTTTGAAATCTTGCCCTCTTTAATTTCAACACCACTATGTCTTTACACTTCATCTCTTACTCCTCTAATTTTTTTCAGTGTTCTCTGAAAATTATATCGCAGTCACTGCTTTTAAATAGTCCTCTTGCTGGGGCGCTTGGGTGGCTCAGTCAGTTAAGCATCTGACTTTGGCTCAGGTCATGATCTCGTGGTCTATGAGTTCGAGCCCCGTGTCGGGTTCTGTGCTGACCGCTCAGAGGCTGGAGCCTGCTTCGGATTCTGCGTCTCCCTTTCTGTCTATGCCCCTTCCCTGCTCGTGCTCTGTCTCTCAAAAATGAATAAACGTTAAAAAGAAATTTAAATAATAAATAAATAAAGATCTTTCCTTAGTGACCATCCTCAGACCATATTACAGAACCTTTGTGAAAACTCATCTGTGCTTATGATTGTAGCCCTATATGTCTGCGGGATGAGGACTCCTATGTTCCTATCACCAGCACAGATCTCTCTTCCCAAGATCTATAAGTTCAGCTGCCCTTTGGACAGACTAGTCTGTGTCTTCTATGTCTCTCTGTTCATTTCCCCACCAGCAAATGGACACTTTTTTCTGCTCTTTTCAAGCTTCCTGGCTGTTTTCTCTTTAACATGGGAAGAACTATATGATACTAAAGAAAGTGTCATTAAGTGTTATTTAGTCACTGAAATTATTCTACATACAATTTGAAATTAATAGTCTCTTGTTAAGGGACTCTCCTATGAGGAGAGAGGAATGGGTTTGGGACAGATATTATCTCATTAAAAAAAACTCCTTTCATATATATTCCTCAAAATTGGAACTGGGCAACTGAGCCCATACATTATTTGTTTTAATATTACATTATTCCTTATAAATGAAGACTAAAATATTCAGATGTGTCTTATATTAATTTATGTTTCCTCATTGTTTTTATTTCAAAGGATAGAGGGAAACCTCAACTGTGGAGTACATTACCTTTTTACTTGTTCTTTCTCTCTAGTTGTAAGTATCTAACTGGAGAATGAGCTAATTTTTTAAAGTAGCAATTGAGAAATACCTTTAAAGAGCAAGAGGCAAAAATTTTATCTTTAGGAAAGCAGTGTTGTAGCATCAACCATAGAAATTGCCAGGCTTTAGTCAACTAGGGTATTATGCTAAGTATTATTTTATTAAGTGTGGCATTACATTCCAAACCTTTCTGTTCTTATCTCACCAAAGAATTAGTAAAATAGTTGTTATATAAAGGAAGTCTGAGAGGTAATGCAGCTAATGACTTTTCAATCAGTGGGTAATCTTGCCATCAATAGTCTTGGGAATCACTAATTGTGGGAACATTTCTAGAAGCAGTGGCTTTAAAATGTTAACTTAGATTCTTTTTGTTTAATCCATATAATAAAAGAATAATTACACAAAAATATAAATAAGAAACTCCAAGGTCTTGATACTATGGCTTAATTAATCTATAAGTGTATATATTTTTTTCAATATATGAAATTTATTGTCAAGTTGGTTTCCATACAACACCCAGTGCTCATCCCAAAAGGTGCCCTCCTCAATACCCATCACCCACCCTCCCCTCCCTCTCACCCCCCATCAACCCTCAGTTTGTTCTCAGTTTTTAAGAGTCTCTTATGCTTTGGCTCTCTCCCACTCTAACCTCTTTTTTTTTTTCCTTCCCCTCCCCCATGGGTTTCTGTTAAGTTTCTCAGAATCCACATAAGGGTGAAAACATATGGTATCTTTCTCTGTATGGCTTATTTCACTTAACATCACACTCGCCAGTTCCATCCATGTTGCTACAAAGGGCCATATCTCATTCTTTCTCATTGCCGCGTAGTACTTCATGGTGTATAGAAACCACAATTTCTTTATCCATTCATCAGTTGATGGACATTTAGGCTCTTTCCATAATTTGGCTATTGTTGAGAGTGCTGCTATAAACATTGGGGTACAAGTGCCCCTATGCATCAGTACTCCTGTATCCCTTGGATAAATTCCTAGCAGTGCTATTGCTGGGTCATAGGGTAGGTCTATTTTTAATTTTCTGAGGAACCTCCACACTGCTTTCCAGAGCGGCTGCACCAATTTGCATTCCCACCAACAGTGCAAGAGGGTTCCCGTTTCTCCACATCCTCGCCAGCATCTATGGTCTCCTGATTTGTTCATTTTGGCCACTCTGACTGGCGTGAGGTGATATCTGAGTGTGGTTTTGATTTGTATTTCCCTGATGAGGAGCGACGTTGAGCATCTTTTCATGTGCCTGTTGGCCATCCGGATGTCTTCTTTAGAGAAGTGTCTATTCATGTTTTCTGCCCATTTCTTCACTGGGTTATTTGTTTTTCGGGTGTGGAGTTTGGTGGGCTCTTTATAGATTTTGGATACTAGCCCTTTGTCCAATATGTCATTTGCAAATATCTTTTCCCATTCCGTTGATTGCCTTTTAGTTTTGTTGGTTGTTTCCTTTGCTGTGCAGAAGCTTTTTACCTTCATAAGGTCCCAGTAGTTCATTTTTGCTTTTAATTCCCTTGCCTTTGGGGATGTGTCAAGTAAGAAATTGCTACAACTGAGGTCAAGTGTATATATTTTGGATAAGTGGAACTATTCTGCAAATCTCACTTCTGATTAATTTCACTGAAGAAAAGAAAAACAGGGACTAAATCCAGAATTAATCACAAAATGTCTTATTTTTAATCTTCTTCTTTTCAAAGTCTAATTAAAAATCTAAATAAATGTTTTGCCAAAGGGTTTGCTAATATTCTCTAATAATTAGTATTTCTTATTTAGACAGAAGCAAATCAGTATTATTCAACCATAACCATCCATTTATTCTACATCACTGTTTCTATCTGAACCTTTAAAAAAGCAACTGATATGGGATTTATGTGGCATTTTATATAATTTATTATGGCACTTACATTATGTAATTTCTAGTTCTGTCTCTGAACTGCTACTGATGTCAGGGGAAAACCATCTGAATTACATTTGTATATTCACAGTGAGAATATACACCATTTAGAAAGAAAGGACAAAGTTATTTCACATTGAGCCCAAATGACACAGTAATTAATTTTAGAAACTGTCCTTAAAGTTACTAAAAATAAGGAACTTATGGCCTTGGGTCAAATTTACGTACTTCCTGAGGAAGTTTTCAAAGAATTACTTAAGAGTAGCTTTTGCCTAGGGCCAATGAATTAGATTAAACTTGCCCTGATAGTGTTGGCATCTGACATGTAGGTGGCCCTTGAAGAATACATGGCCACCTCCTCACATGCACATCCCTGCTGGCAAGACAAAGTCTGACTGAGATGGATCAGATCAGTCTCCTTATCATTTTATGATAATTTGCTCCATTATTGAATAGCTATAGCAAAATAAATCAATACATAATTACATTTCATATCCTATAATTAAAACTTAATTATATAAATTAAAAAAGTGAAATTATTTACTTTTAAGAAAAAAAAAAGCAAATAAATTTGAGAAAAGAAACCCTGAATGTCAATTAGGATATCCTTAGATTCTCCTAGTTACACAGACCAGAAACTCATGGATGGTTGCAAGTGCAGGGATTTGGTCCAAGAGCCATGTACAGAGTTATAGCCCTTTGATCCTCTGAACAAGGGTTGATCTTAGCAAGGGCAGAACGCAAGGCTTCAGGAAGGGCAGGAGATGACAAAGAACTGGACCACAAGATCATTGACTGAGAAAACCGGTGCTAACATGAGTCACCTACTCTGTGCATATTTTCTTCAGTGTTTAATTATTACATGGCTTATTTATTTATCTTCAGTTCTTTGTCCCTTAGTTTGTGCTGTCTCAAACCTTTGGTTTTGCATAATTCCAGTGGCCCTGAGTCTCCATGATAATTTCTGTCATTTCAGCCCCCTTTGGCAACTACCTCATTCTGTTAATATTGCTAAGACAAATTTTCATAGAGAGGAAATCTGATCGTGTAGAGTTACCTTTTTCATGTCAATCCAGGCCGTTAACCCCTGGCCTCATATGAATTGGCTTTCCTTGGGTCACTTGACCCCTGACATCCTATCTTCTTAGTCACCAGGCCAGATATGAGACTAGTTTTTGCTTTCATTTTTACAACATAATATGACTAGGGTCTTATTTTAGCCATTTGTCAAAGAGTTTAAAAGTTCCATTATCTTTTATTACATTATATTAAGATGTTACAACCATCCTACTGAAACCAACACTCCCTCATTTAGGTTCAGACACTCTTCATCTTATCCTGTTTCTTGGACTAAGTTAAGGAAACCTTACTTAGAGTTCATTCATTGACAGGGATGAATTAAATGTTCCCTGAAATAGAAAAAAATAGTACATTTTATTATCTGAGCATGCTGACACTTGACATCTTACAGGATTCACTATACCCAATTTTAATTATAATTGTGGAAATCCAGTGATAACATTATTTTCAATCCTTCTACAACTGAAAAGCAAAATCAGAGTTGATATTTTTCAAAGACTCAGCTTGAGGATATATCATTTATTGATCATTTATTGGCATCACTTAATGCCCTAAGACACTGGTTAGCAAGCTTTCTATGAAAAAGATAGCAAATATTTTAACTATGTGGGCCATATGTTCTCTATTGCAACTACTCACCTGTGCCATTTCAACACAAAAAACAAACATAGACAATCCATCAATAAATGAGCATGGCTGTGTATCAATAAAACTTTATTGATCCTTGGACATTGAAATGTGAATTTATAAAATTTTCACATGACACAAAGTAGCTCTTCTGAATTTCTTTTTCCCAGCCGTTTGAAAAGCAAAAGCCATTCTTAACTCAGGAGCCATACAGAAACAGTCTGAGGGTCAGATTTGTTGTCCCTGCTCTAGGAAACTAAACAGCTTTCAAAGCTCTTGGGAAAATTAGGTAAAACTAGGAAAATTAAGTATACTACTTATACTATATGATGGAAACAACTTTCTTTAATTTTTATTAAATTTAATTTAGTAATTCTTCAATACTTTTTATTAAGTTTATTTTTTTAATTAAGCAAATATACATAATAGGAATCAAGTTCTATTGTTATACCTTATTGTATAATTGTTCTATTAATATAGCTATTAGTGTCATTTTATCTTTATTACAGGTTATTTGAGACACTCCAGTCCCTATTTTGGTCAATATTTGGGCTCATCAATTTATATGTGACCAATGTCAAAGCACAGCATGAATTCACTGAGTTTGTTGGTGCCACGATGTTTGGGACATACAATGTCATCTCTCTGGTGGTCCTACTCAACATGTTAATAGCTATGATGAATAATTCGTACCAACTCATTGCTGTAAGTTGAATAACTTTATTTTAATTCAATATTCCCCCCCCCTAGAATGTGTTGTTCCTAGCCACACTCTATCTTATTTATCATAAGGAATACAGCCTGTAATAGGCTATTGATGGGACAGAACAGAATTATAATATAAATGGTTAATTGGAAGTTTCTAAACAGTATTATACCATATTTAGCTACAAACTAATCTAGTTTTGTCATATTATGGATGATTATAAAATAAAGTAAATCTGTCTTGCTAGGCAGTCATTGGCTACGAAAGCACAAGGGAAGTATGAATTACGTACAAGTGGCTCATCTCTGTGTAGAGCCCTTTGGACTTTGCATTGTCTCTGTCCATTTAACCTACAATCTTGGTATAAACAAACTTATGCCAGCCTGGCAAGATACAAAAGCTAGCCTAGAGGAGAGTTTGAGGGGAAAATCTACAGTATTTTTGGTTTCTTAAATCCAGAAAAAGCAAGGTATGGGTAACCCTGAATTCTACAGCAGAGCACACAATACCATATATGTTTATTTGAAACTCTAGAATCTAAACAATTTAGTTTACTTTTCATTCATTCATTCAGCAAATTCTTATTGAGAACTTACTCTATTACCAAGTACTATTCTAGGAACTAGAAATACAACAATGAATGAGAAAGACAAAGTTCTTTATCCTCTTGAACTTACATACATGCCGGTGGCCATTAGCAATAGCAACTAAACAAACCCATATTGGAATGAAATACACTTAAGTCTTTCATATTTATACCTGAATCAAATAGCATTTTATAAGGACAATTTATAACCATAATTTTCTCCTTAAATAACTACCATTATATTGCATCTTTGAATCTATTTCTAAACCGCCAGTGTTATTATTGTTACTTTGAGGAACAGCATTCTGAATTTTACTGAAACTGTCTCTATGGGGCAAGATACCTGTCACAGATGAAAAACTACATAAAACATAAAAATAGATGATTTTTATTTTCTGATTCATAAACAAAGTATTAGTGCTGGGTATACCTAGGTCCTAGGATTTGCAGGTGAATATCCAAATTATGGGGCTTCACTTAAGCATCTTGCAAGTGAGGATTTTTTAAGATAGTCCCTATGTATTTCCTTAGAAGTTCTGTATTATTCTGGTCAGTGTATTTGCAAAACGTAGATTCTATTTTTCAGACCACCCTTCTAAAAAAAATTAGAAAGACTCTAATTATCCAGCTATATACAGAGAAGCTGTATATACAATTTATATCCTATAAAATATCAAACGGATTGATTTCATCAAGAAGACAATATTACTTAAGGATAGTATGACTTTTTTGTTTTTACTGCTTTTAGGGTTTATCTTTCTAGATGATTTTTAAAGAGGTGAGAATGATCTTCGAAGCTCTGTTTTTGCTTAGCTTAAACTCTAAAACTACTTAAGAAGAGAGCAGGCATTGATAACCTGAGACAGGTGTAGCTCCCATAATCCTGTGCATAATGCCTCCTTGGAGCAAGAACATGCCAACTATTTGATTTTCACTTGGATAACAGAGGTGGTTTTGGTCATCACCAATATATAACATTTCACTTCTAGTTTTTCTACCATAGAATTTGTTGTAGACCCTCTCAGAATCCCAAACCAAGAACAAAGAAAGAGTTTATCTTTTTTTTTTTTTTTAAGTTTATTTATTTATTTTTGTGAGATAGAGAGCCAGCAGGGGAGAGGCAGAGAGAGAGAGAGAGAGACAGACAGAATCCCAAGCAGGCTCCGCACTGTCAGCACAGAGCCAGATTCAGGGCCTGAACTCAAGAAACATGAGATCATGACCTGAGCCAAAACCAAGAGTTGTACGCTTAACCAACTGAGCCACATAGGCGCCCCAGGAAGTCTGCTTTGTGATAGCAATAAGAGAACATAATGAGGTTAGCATAATCCTTAATTTGTGACTCCTTAAGAATCAGAAGGAGCAGAATCTACTCACAGGCCAACTCTTTATCAAAGTGACTATCTTTATATTAGCTTAAGCTAATTCTCTTGACTCCCATCCTCCACGACTACAGCAAACAATATACACTTTTCTTCATTAATGCAGGATCTATAAGCTTGTTTAGAAAGAAACAGAGAACTTGAGGAGAGGAAGAGGAGAGGATAGGGGGGTGAAACCGGAGCTTCTGTGCTTCTGTCTATTGATCAGTCCCTCCAGTCAAACATCTGCAAAGCACACAGTGAATGCCACACAGTTTCTAGATATGCTGATTCCTGTTGAAAGCACAATCTGTCCAGTGTCTAGATGAAAATCTTTATTGCTCAGGGTAGAAATGTATATGCAACACATGCATTCATTAGCACACAACCATTTAAGAATATTAGAATGAAGCATGGTCTAATGTGATTCTCCCACTCTAAAATCTGAGTTCTTCCTTACAATATCAATGGGTTAAAATGAACTATTTTGATATGCCTAGTTTCTACCACCTCCTACTTCCCAGATTTTCTGCTTCAATCAGATTTGTGGCTAATTTAAGAGGGGACTGGCTGCCCTATCTCTAATTGCCACAAATGTTCTGATTTTTTCTAGGAGGTTAATAAAGTGAAATGATTAATAAATTATGAAGGGTTGCAAACAGCCACTAACCACAGTCTTGTCTGGTGCCATTTGGACAAGGCTATGTCAGGGTTTGGTGCCATGTCAGAGGCCCCATTCTACATTTGTTAGAGGAGCTTCTCTCCAAATTTGTGCCTGTTGCCTAAAGGCGGACAAGAATAATTCACATAGAAACACACCAACTAAGACTTTTCCTGGAAACACCAGAAGGCTAAGCCATGAGCATCCATGAAGGTGACACTGACCTAGACCGGGATTCAAGGCCTTGGGGAATATATGAAGGTCTATTTGTGGTCAGAATCTAGTGCACTTGGGCTAATGTAAGCCTGCAGTGCAGGAAATGAAAATTCGTCTTCAAGTCATAACTGATCACTGCAGGCTCTTTAACATGGAATTCTTTTAGACGTCTGTTTCATGGAAGAAGGAAGGATAAAAACTGACAAGACTGCTGTGACTCTTTATCAGGGTAAACCATCATCTGAAATGTTTAGATGACTACCTCGAGGAGTCAGTCTTGTTTCTATAAGCAATTTAATTAATATTACAAGAGCTGCTCCAAGTCAGGTTACAGGCTCCCTGTGAGGTTTATCTCACCTTAGTAATTAAGAAACCTGTCAGTAGTTGTCATATTCTCCCATTCAGGACCATGCAGATATAGAATGGAAGTTTGCTCGAACAAAGCTTTGGATGAGTTATTTCGAAGAAGGAGGTACTCTGCCCACTCCCTTCAATGTCATCCCGAGCCCCAAGTCTCTCTGGTACCTGATCAAATGGATATGGACACACCTGTGCAAGAAAAAGATGAGAAGAAAGCCTGAAAGTTTTGGAACAATAGGGGTAAGAACACAGCATGTTAGTATTAGTCTTTTTTTTTTTTTTTATTGCGTATTTAAATATATTTGTATTTCTTGTTGGATGGTTTTGCATTTTTAGCCTTTTGTTTTTCCTGGTTGTGTTTGGTGTCCTTTTGTTTGCACAGCTACCACATCTAAGACACTGTCTGAGTAACTAAGAATTTTTCCTCCAAACCCATTTCCTCCAGTGAGGGCAGTCACTGTTACTTTAGTAGGAGCTCCACCTGACACAGGCCTCTCCTGGACCCAGCGGCCGAGGCCTGGGGAGCTAACACATTGTCTCTTGGTACCCTAATTTCTGCTCTTTTCAGAATTGCAATCGCTGGTTGTTTGTGGCCTTACTTGCTCTTTTCTACTCTCTCTGGATTATAAGGGAAGGGGGCTGTTTCAGTCTCTCATATTCTTAGTGCCGAACATAGGCTCTGACGCACAGCATATGATGCTTGACAAAAACATCTCGACTAAATGATTAAACGGGGATTATAAACTTAAAAATGCTGCGCCATGTTCCAGCACAGGGACTTCAGAATATGTTGAGTTGCTCAACATTTTGCTTCTACACGTAATCATTTTAAATACCAAGAAGTTGTGTTTTTAAAAAATGTTAGGACTATTCGGAGCCATGCTCCTGTTAACAGTATCAGATTAAACTTCCTTTGGAAGTTCCTTTCATACTGGAAAGCAAGAGTTCAACTGATTCCATCAGAAGAGATGGGGACTAAGGACTTTGTTCTGGCAAACCCACTGACATGGGACAAGTTATTCCTCATTTCTTTCACACTTAATTTTCAAAGTTCTCATAGTGACGTTTTGAGAATCCATACTCTAACGTTCATTAGTTGTTTTGACTTGCTCAGAGAAATTGCTTTAGAAGTATTTTAATATGCCTTTGCATTAGAATCACCAAGTAATACTAGTTACTAACATTTTTAAATCTGTTTTTAATTTTGTTTAAAAAGGTTTCTGTTACTTATGCCCTAAGTGATCCTTCCCACTCATTAACTTCATTGCCCAATAAGCATTTCTCTCAGCATCAAATGGGGCTTCCTCCACTGATAGTGGCCTTGATTTTGCTGTCATGTTAGTCACATTTTTAATTTTTTTTTAACAGTTATTCATTTTTGAGAGAGCGTGAGTGGTGGAGGGGCAGAGAGAGGGAGGCACAGGATCCGAAGCAGCCTCCAGGATCTGAGCTGTTATCACAGAGCCCAACGCGGGGCTCGAACCCACAAACCATCAGATCATGACCCAAGCCAAAGTCAGGTGCTCAACACACTGAGCCACCCAGGCTCCCCAGTCACATTTCTAATTCTAAGGATGAAATTGACTGGCAAGAACATATACAGCATATAGCAGAGAGGGAAATAGTTACATTCTTTTTTATAAATTCCTACTCCAGAAACTTGGAGGACTAAAGTTTGTGCATATATCTGATCTTAGAAACCAAAGTCAAATTACGATGAAGACTTAGGCTGCAATACTCATACTGATAGATTTTAACACTGACCTTAGAAAGAGTGAAATTATTTTACTCCAGATGTTTGAGTAAAAAATTTTAACAGATGTTTCTGCTATAAAATAGGTTTAAATTATTTAACAAAGGGTGTAAAATAAACACAATGCCTGAGATTTAATAAGCAATTATTGCACACATTCTATGTGCCAGCCAGTAACTGAGCTAGGGATTGGGGGTAGGAGTAGGTATAAAGGCATGGTGTCCATCCTCGAGCTCATCATTTCTAACATGGGACATACAATTATGAGAACATATTACTATAGTACGTGTTATATATTTAACATTACAATGTGTTACATGCAAAATGCTATGACAACATTATAAGAAATAATGTTTTCCTTGAGATAAACAGAAAAGGGTTTCAGGGAAGCCAGACTCTGGCTTATTCTCTTCCACATCAAAATATACTTGTCCTTTTTCACATCTTATTCTTAAATTCTTCAGAAATTTATTTAATCAATCCCTAGAAATATATGAATAATATAGTCTTATGCTGTCTGTCATAGGAGTATTTAGATTTTTAAAAATTTTTTTTAGTGTTCATTTTATTTTTGAGACAGTGAGAGACAGAGCAGGGTCAGGGGAGGAGCAGAGAGAGAGGGGGACGCAGAATCCGAAGCAGGCTCCGGGCTCCGAGCTGACAGCACAGAGCCTGATGCGTGGCGTGAACTTGTCAACCACGAGATCATGACCTGAGCCGGGTCGAATGTCCAACCGACTGAGCCACCCAGGCACCCCAGGAGTATTTAGACTTACAAAGAGTTTCTGGGCCCCAAGATAAAGTTCACACACAAAAGAAATTTGTTTTTAATAGTTTAATTTTAGGCAATTGCAGAAAGAATCATGGGTTTTAAGATGCCACAAAACTTGTAACAAGATATGGGGCTCTGCTCTAATATTTTAAGAGATCCATCTGTGCTGCCACCAAAATAATAGAAAACCACTCTAAGAACTTGACTTCCAAGTCCCCCCCCTACACCCCTTAGAATCCTCCCACTGTTGGTTGACGCATTGTTAGGAATATGTTACCATCATTTCTTAGATGCAAAGAGGAGCTTAACATTCATTTGGGATTTCCTATTAAAGCCGTGATTCACACCTTTCAGAAGGAGAGGGTAAATGGTGTAAGTTAAAATACGTTCCTTTCTATACATTACTGGTCTCAAAAAAACACAAATTTCTTTTTATGTCTCTGTCTCTAAATTTGACTATTTTGATCCAAGTTGATGCACAGAAAGAGAATTCACAATTAATGGCATGACCCCAAGACATTCCTTTTTCCTTAGCCATGTAGATCTTACAAACCTTTGGTAATGGTATATTTTTATGCTTTGGGAATTTATACAAACTAAATAAATATTGTGAGTCATGTCTCTCTTTCCCACTGTCATCCCACTCTCAATCCTGCCTCTTCTTCACCAAGCTAAGGCTTTGGGCAAGCACTAGCCTAATCAAACTCAATGCTATAAATGTATTCTTTATCTAGACTGCATTTCCAGAACAGGAAGGACATAATATTTTGGTCTGCATACTTATAGTTCAGTTTTATACATTTAGATTTTAGATGGAAATAAATAATATGTATCACTTATGAAGAAAAATATAAGAAAAAGGAAAAGTAGATTAAGAAGGTTGGGCAACATTAATAGAAGAGTTAAATGAGAAAATAGTGTCAAAAAGTAATTGATTTTGTTGTGAATTCATTTCAATTTGGTTAATACCCGACAGTTCATTAGTACAGACAAATAAGGACAAGAAGATATACACATTTCCATTAATTAAAAGGTGACGTTGACGTATCGATGACAGTCACTCTGTATAACCAAGGCATGGGTTAGAATATCAATATCAATTACACTTCAAAAGGACCTTAGAAATCATTTAGCTCAACCATTTCCTTTCAGAGAGAACTTATTTACCTTTCCAGGCGTTTTAGGGTCCCTTGGTAACAGCTGGGGGGAAACCTGGATCTTTTGTTTCCCAAACCAGTGTGCTTTCAGTCACTCTCTTGCTTCCCTGAAAACTGTAATGATAATACAATGATACCTTCTATGTTGCGTATTCATCTTTCCATTTTCATTTTTCTCAACAGCTTTTGTTTTTTTATTTTTTTTTTTAATTTTTTTTCTACGTTTATTTATTTTTGGGACAGAGAGAGACAGAGCAAGAACGGGCGAGGGGCAGAGAGAGAGGGAGACACAGAATCGGAAACAGGCTCCAGGCTCTGAGCCATCAGCCCAGAGCCCGACGCGGGGCTCGAACTCACGGACTGTGAGATCGTGACCTGGCTGAAGTCGGACGCTTAACCGACTGCGCCACCCAGGCGCCCCATCTCAACAGCTTTTGAATGCTGTCACTGTCTTCGGCTTCTAAGATTCCTGTATCTCAAAGTCCTTGTTTCCCAGCCTGGCTCACCTTCTGTTTGCATCTCAACTTGCTTATATTTAGGCCACATTTTTGAGACAGAAATCTGAAGCTCAACTGGTGGCAGAGCTTACACATTCTTTGAGGCATTTTCTCTAACCTTCCCAACTTGTGACTCACTTACCTACTCTTGTCACCCAGCAGCTGCCTGAATGTCACACTGGTGCTCATTCCCTTCACATGCCTAGGCAGAGCCTGAAAGCGAGCACTCTTCAACATAGCTGCACTGGCCACTCTCCAGGAGCCCATCATCGGTGATCTTATCTAGTAGTTATGGTTTCCGGGTAATAATGATAGAACTAGTGCTGAAAACTCATTAACTTCTTTTTTTTAACTTTGGACTTCCTCTTATGGGTGATTGGGAGTTCCAAATAAATTAACCTTTCATTTGGAATGCTCTTTGCAGGAAACATAAATGAAGCAGAAATAACTTTATTGAGCAAAACCTTTATTGGAGGAAGAAAACCCATTATTGAAAAATGGCTTGTCTCTGGGAAATTATGAAATCCTACCAAAGGGGGCAGCCTATTGAGGAGTCAATAAAATGTGAAACATGCTGTAGCTTTTGGTTTTTCGTATTACTACTTACCAAATTTTTAGCTTAACCCCATTTTATCAGCAAATACCCTTCTCCATATTAAAACACCAGTTCTTAGACTTTTGTGAGTGCTAAAATCATCAGGAATCTCTATTTTAATAAGCATTTCCTTGTAACTTTAATTAGAAACTCCTGTTAAAGAGGGGTGCCTGGGTGGCTCAGTCAGTTAAACTACTGACTTCAGCTCAGGCCATGATGTCACAGTTCGTGAGTTCGAGCCCCACATCGGGCTCTGTGCTAACACCTCAGAGCCTGGAGCCTGCTTTGGATTCTGTATCTTCCTCTCTCTCTGCCCTTCCCCTGCTTGTGCTCTGTCTCTCTCTCTCTC